ATTGGCATTGTTTTTAGCATTTAGTCTTCCATAAGTTTAACTAATTTTTTTTCACTGTTTCAGGGATGGAAAAAGACACCTTTGTTCTAGAAAACAGCTACATACGAGCAGAGATAAACAAAAATGGGCAAGTGACAAGTTTGGTGCTTGCTGACCAGCCAGACCAGGATGTGTTTAGAACACCGGAGGGATCACAGTGTGCTGGGAATCAGTTAATGATTTATGATGATATTCCTCTGTACTGGGATGCTTGGGATAGCATGGATTATCACTTGGAAACGGGAAAGATCTTGAATGAAAAGCAGGTTAGTGGCACCATTACGTTTTTTTAGAGCTGATTTTTTTTTCTTTTCTTTCGTTTCTTTTCCATTAAGGGAGTTTTAACACTTTCTTAAGGAAAAGTTTGGTTGTAGAAAGGTTTAAACATGAATCAGGAATAACCTTAAAGTGGTTCATTCATATAATGAAATTTTAACATTTTGATCCACTTCAAGCGAGAAATAAAAGCAATTTAAGTTTGTCATGTTTATACTAATTTTCAGAGTGGCTGCATACTGTCAGAAATTCAAGTTATTGAGAATACCCCTGTGATGGTGAGACTAGAATGGAAGATGAAGATTAGTGAGGTCTCCGTCCTTAACCAAGAAATATCCCTGTCAGCTGTGAATCCCTACCTAACCTTCCACACGCACGTAAACTGGCACGAGAATCGCAAGTTCCTAAAAGTGGGTTTCAACACTGGCATCATTGCACGGGAGGCATCTTTCGACACGCAGTTTGGCCACTTGTATCGCCCTACTCACATGAACACTTCATGGGACTCGGCAAAGTTTGAAGTGTGTGGCCACAAGTATGTGAAAGTGATGGTTTTGTTTAGCTTTGATTTTTTTTTTTTTTTTCTTTCTCTTCTTTCTTTTTTTTCTTTTTTTTCTTTTTTCTTTTCTTCTTCTTTTTCTTTTTCTTTTTTTCTTCTTCTTTTTTCTTTTTTTCAATTACTATTATTATCATTATTATTATTACTATTACTATTATTATTATTGTTGTTGTTGTTGTTGATATTGTCATGGGAATTCTTTTTATCATTATAGTTTTGCTATAGCCATTACCTTTCTTCTTAGTCAAGCATTTAGATCAGTTATTTGAAGTAAACCCAACCATAAAAAAATTAGACTTTACATATCAAAAGTGCAACTATTGCAGATGGGCTGACCTCTCAGAGCACAACTTCGGTGTTGCAGTCCTCAATGATAGCAAGTATGGTTGGACTGCACGTGGTAGCACGCTAAGCCTCTCCCTGCTGCGGTCACCCAAGGCACCTGACGACCGATGCGACATGGGCAAACACTCATTCAAATATGCTGTTATGCCCCACAGAGGTTAATTTTTATAGGAACTGATATAAATGAAATGGTTTTATATGTGTACACAATAGGTGTTGATAATTTTTTTCATTGTTTTTAATTCGCTTCATGTCAAAATTAGAGAAATTTATTTGATAAGTAATTGTTTATTTTCTAGGGACACTGCAGAGTGCTGGTGTTCCTCAAAGAGCATATGAATTCAACACAAATCTGATCGTTTTCACTGCAAAATTATCGTAAGTAAAGGATTTTATTTCCCAAAGATATGGTATAGATTTTTTAGCCTCTTTTTCATTTACTTATTTTTCTCTTAATATGTATATGCTTCAAATCTCTCACACATTAAGAATCTATCATGTTATATGTCCCATTTTTTTATTTTTTGAATTAGATTAAAGTTTCCCTGTAGTAAGGCAACATTTTCTTCTTTTTCAGAAGAGACAGTGATATCAAGTTGGATTGGTTCAGTGTGATTGGTGAAGGAGTTATGATTGAGGCTGTGAAGTTGGCCGAAGACAAGACTGGGGACGTTGTGGTGCGTCTGTATGAAATGCAAGGTGGAAGCCACAGAATATGGTGAGTGTTGTTCTAGCAGTAGTATGTGGCAAATAGGCTTTTTATTATTATTATTACTTTTAACTGTAGTCTTTAGGTAGACTCTAATGGAATACTAAGCTGTATCAGGTCCAGTTCATGATTTTACTTCTGCGCACACACTAATGCATTACACTATATATATATATATATATATATATATATATATATATATATATATATATATATATATATATTTTTTTTTTTTTTTTTTTTTTTTTTTTTTTTTTATATATATATATATATATAGTATATATATATATATATATATATATATATATATATATATATATATATATATATATATATATATATATATATATATATATATATATATATATATATATATATATATATATATATATATATATATATATATATATATATATATATATATATATATATATATATATATATATATATATATATATATATATATATATATATATATATATATATATATATAGTATATATATATATATATATATATATATATATATATATATATATATATATGAATTGTTGGTGAACTGTTCAACTTTTGTAAATGAAATTGGCACTACATAAATTGCTCTGCCATAGTGTGTGTGTGTGTGTGACAGATAGACAGATTTGAATATATATATATGCATATATGTTGTTGCACATGCATATATATTCCTTTGTTACTCTTAAATATAATGTTCTGTTATTATTTATCAAAACCCTCGAATCATTGCAGGTTGAAAGCAACTGCCATTCCTCCCCCAAAAGGTGTCCATCTCTGCAATGGACTAGAAGAATCATATCAGCCGCTGCCATTTGATGCCAGACCAGCAAATGTGGGACAGGACAATAAATACTTTTATATACCTCTTACTTTCTCCCCATTCAAGATTGTGAATGTTCGCTTCCGATATGCCTAAGTCCCACGTCTATGTTATACGTAAAAGGGATTTTATGATTTCTTGGAGAATTAAACTTACCTTCTATGTGTGTGTTATTCTGAAGTGTTGTTGTTGTTTTGTGTTAGGAGAAGGATGTTTAAGGCAAAATATTGAGGTTTATGGAAAGGTTAACTGCCTTTGTTGACTGTTAAGGGGGTTGTGAAGGTTGTAGGATTGGGAAATGGTGAAGGGGGACTTCGAATTAGATAATTAAGTTGTCAGTTGTAGTTTTATGTCGGGGGAATACTGAGGTTTATGGTATGGTTATTCCCATGTTCTGTAGGACTTTGGACAAATTCACAAAGAAAATTATGGTCTATAGACATGTTATTCTTTTTAAGAGTATCAAAAACATAGATTTGTTGTTGATTTTACTGTTGTTCCTTTAATTTTTGTTAAAGATAAGATGTTTGTTATTGATATATATTTTGAGGTTATTTGGCAACTGTGATTTTTTTATCATTTATTTTTCTGGTTAAACATGTAAGTAAACAACCTTATTGAATGCATGTAGATTTAATTTATTTGAAGTAAAGATGGAAAAATATGTACAAAAATGCCTTTCACTGCCAATTTATAAAGTTTGCATAATTTATTCCTGAAATTAAATGAAGTAGATTTTTTTTTTTTTTATAATGAATATATATTATTGATTTTACTAATCTTCATGTTTTCCTATTCACTAGTCTGAACTTTTTGGTTGTGTTCAGCTGTCTGTGGTGTAGAGATAAAAGCCATATTGTAATTGATTTTATACTGTAATGACTTTTACTTGTTTTGTACTAATACATTGAATGTAATGAATTTTACAGGTTTTGTACTAATACAGTGAATGTAGGCAAGATTCATTTTCACTGGTGTTATTTCAATCATGTGAACTTTCAATTAATTTTTATATGAAACAGTTTTGCCAAAAAAAAATGAAATAATGCTGTGTTTGATTAGCCTTGTCTTTTAGGTCATTCTTCTCTAATATGTGATTATGGTATTCAAGAAATTTCAGAAGCTGAGCCAAATATTAGACAGACATGAAGGCGAGGCGCAATTACATCTTTCCCTATATTTTGCAGTCAGAGCAGAACATACCATGCACAGTAATGCCTAAATAAAGACTAAAGACAGACACTCATTGGCTAATAGATGCTTCTGCTACTCCTGCTGTATTGCAATAAATTACAGACTGCATTATAACATCCACAAACACTTAGAGAATTGACAATAAGCAATGATGCATCATCTGTCTTCTGCCTTCCATTTAGTCTCTCACTGGCTATGCTTAGATTAGATTCCATACTTAATTACACTTGTTTTCTTTGTGCTTTAAATGATTTTTTTTTATCTTCATACTGCCTGTATATGCAAGGAGAGGATCAAAAAGTAATATTTGGTTCACATAGGAGAAACTGACTTAGTGGTTTGGAAACAATTTAAGATTTTTCTACAGAAATCCATCATTATAGGGAATACACCTACTAGAGAGTTAATCGACTCAACAGGCTTATAGTATTAATTATCAAATCTACTTTGTATCTATGTCTTTGTTCTCATGCTCTCTCTTTCTCTTTCCATTACTCATTTTTATTTTCTCTCTCTTTCTCTTTCTCTTAGGGCTGGAGTAAGGCTAGGCAATGTCTTTTGCACAAATCATTAATGATGTTCATCCTTTTCAATGGTATACACCCTCAGAATCTCAAATGGTATTCCTGCAGTATATCTCAGATGGCTGATAAATTAAAACTTTAAAGCTGGTTTAGTATAATAAGGGACAGCATTAATAATAAAAATTACTAATCTCAGAATGTGCCTGTAAGTAATTTTCATGAATCTGGAATTCCATGAAATTAGATAGCAATTAATGGTAATTTGTGGTGTTCAGCATTCACTCAGTGCTCTAAGCACTTACTAATAAACTATTCTTGCTTTATGGTTAATCCCGTGCTGCTGTTTTCTCTCCATCTCTCTCACTCTCTTTCTTTTATGTTGATAGACTAATAGATGGTACCTGCATTTCCAAGTGTACTTGTGTAGGAAATCTACAACAGTACTGTTCTTCCTGCGTACAATATTTTTACCTTTTAGAATTTTCATATATATGGATATGTAGTATGAAAGATAAGCAGATATTTGAAGATTTTATTATCAATAAATAATAAATACACTATAATCTTTTATCTGTTGTTTATATGTTGCTATGGATTTGAAAATAAGATTGTAGTTATTCATATAGAATATAAAAATAATGGAAGTCAAATTATAAGAAAGCATACAAAAAGAGATGCATTTCAAGAGTTCTTGCTTTAGTTTTCCAGATATCCTTAGGCCAACATCGCCTTAGCAGTCACGTCGTTCCAGTAAAATTCGTCATTCATAACCACAGTGGCCCTGTAAGGAAGACATCAAAATTAAAAGAAAAATACCGAGCAAAATATTCCATAATGGCAGTTGGAGTATTTTCTTTGAGAGAATGAATGTTTAGAACATCAATTTGTTACTATACGCCAATTCCTCTTTACCTGAAGGTGACGATTCCAGCCATGTCAACAGGAGCTGCCCAGGTCATCATCTCAACCACCTTGGCAGAGCTGTCTGCTTGATAAGCTGCAGTCTGTGAAGTAATAAAATCAGTCAATCAAGTCTCTCCTAAGGGTCGTTTGTTACTCCCATCTCATCTACTATCCTGTAAATGTATGTATATTTTCATATATGAGGTCGATATGATAAATCAAAACATCAGATTACATTTACTTTGAAATCTCCGCCCTCAGCATGACATTATGAGGTAACGGTATTTCATTTGTGCCCTTTGCAAACCCTTGTTATATCTGATACGCATCACCAGGCTTTCTCTTCTCTGTATGGTTAAAAAAATAATAATCAGTTACATATCTACATGACTACCTGCGTGGGATTAGTTTCCTGAAATCCGGGAGTCAGTTTGTCCTGCAAATATTCTAAAGTACCCTTTTATGAATTTAACCTGGTGACGTCCGTGTTTCAGACAGGATTGGACTAATGTTCAGGGGTATTTGCAAGATGATCAATCATTTCTGATTGTTTCTCGCTTAGTTTCTCGATACAAATTTTCGAAGTATGTCTTCCAATAACAACCAGGAAGAAAGGGAAAACTACGTTAAAAAAGTCCCTAGAGAAACAACTCGCCTAACTCTCTGAATGCTGGCATATTCTAGCCTGCATCAATAAATATTTGAAGATAGCAATGTCAATTCTTGAGACAATCGATTAATCTCAATTTCCCAAATATTCCATCTCAAAGTTTTAAGCCATCAATCTCACTTCTTAAACCATCAATCAACCCCAACAACTAAACCAAACCAACGCCATCAAAAACTAATCATTCACCGACAGTTTACACAACGCTTTATCAACCAAGCTTCCCCTGTTCCCTTTATGACCAGCCGTTAACTATTTACATAAAACACTTCCATTAAAAACTAATCATTCACCGACACTCTACCACAGTGCTATATGACCTTTGATGTCTAGCACATTTATTTTCTTGTCATTATTACTTATTCACCGACACTACCAGTACCAGCCAAGGTTCTTCCCCCGTTCCCTCACATGGCCAGCTGCCTACCGAGACTCGCCCGCGGCCAGGAACCCAAACCCATCGGCCATACTTACTGCGGATCCACATTCGATCGTCTTGGGGGCGTTGACGAAGGACCCGATGGGCTGCCCTTCGGCGTTGAAAGCCTCGATGAAGAATCCTTCGAACGTCACGTTGGGGTCGAAGCCGGTCAAGATCACTGAGGGAAATCAGGTGAGGATCATAGTTGGTGTTTTGACTTTGCTTTGTTATCATGATTTTCAAAGGGATTATGTGTGTGTGTGTGTGTGTGTGTGTGTGTGTGTGTGTGTGTGTGTGTGTGTGTGTGTGTGTGTGTGTGTGTGTGTGTGTGTGTGTGTGTGTGTGTGTGTGTGTGTGTACAGCACATACACGTATATCGAAATTTAATCGTGCTTACGATTTGCCTGTATTCTCAGATATAAATTATCTTGACTCTAAAAGATTTTATGCATACGTTACTCTACTGAAGGGAGATTCCCCCTCCTCTTTGCCTCTTTAGATCTCTATTAATTAAATGACAATTCGTTGTTTGGCTGACTGAAGTTGCCGTTTAATTCAGAGTCGCACGCATCAAAACTTTAACAATTTGCCCTTATATCACTCAAAACCATAGTGTTTAAAAAAAAAAGTATCCGAAATTTGACACAAAATTATACTTCATCCTGCAAGCTCCCTGCAATATTCAAAATCGTCGTCCCATTTATATGATGTTTAATCAATAAGCTGTTGACATAAACATTGAAAAAAATTCTCTCTCGGTCTGGAAAGATAATTCCCATATACCAGATCAGTCACGAACATGGCTCTTTAAAGGAATATTGGTGAAAACTATTATAACATGAACACAATTAGCCAATATGGCCTTAACCGCAGCCGCCACTGCTGGCTGTCTTTCTCTTGAGACCAGAGTTAACCTTACCGCGAGTGCGAGGCCTGTGGTTTAACCTTTAATTGTTTACTGCTCATTAATTGTAATCAACTGTTACCGTCTTCTCTGTGGGCC